ATTTATATATAATTATTTAATTATATATAATAATTTATATATAAGATATTTGAGAATAAAATAAATCAATGTGTGTGTGTGAATTGTTTTACGATTAAAATTGATTTTGTATCGAAAACAATTAACGACAATTAAACGTATAAATATTCATTTCATAATATATTATTTGTTAATAAAAATTTTTGATGGATATTTTATATATCGTTCAAATGACACACACACGTTAAAGACATAAATTAATATGAAGCGCTACGTTTTTTAATCATTCAACGTAGTATAGTTATGCTTATTAGAATCTCGTGGCCTCATTTTCTTAGTACACTTTAAAGTTATGCAATTTAGTTACTTCTACCGGTCTTAAAGATGACTCGAGAATTATTATTATGCTTTATCCCTAGTGTCTGTTTTGTCGTCCTTCTTATAATGCTAATTATAATTCTACGCGTATATAAAGAAATAGTAAAAAAAAAAAAAAAAATCACTACATTTCTTCTAATGGAAACTTACGTAAAAGGATGAATTTTAAAAATATATTTCAATATATTCTTCCAACCACATTTCACCAATCACCACTAATCATTTTGCAATTTTGAAAAGTAATAATATTCGATTCAAAAATCAAAGTAATAATATTAATGGAATTGTATTTAAAAATTATTCGATAAATAATACACAAATAAATGATTCATTTATTCACCGTTAGATTTTTTAACGAAAATGTGCACAAGAAATATATATATAAAAAAAATAAATTGATCCTATGATTTATTGTATATAACAAATTATTAGTATTATCAATTTTATTCAAATTAATCAATTATATTTATTTTTTTTTTATTTTATTATACATCTTTTTTTTATTATTAAATTATTCCTCTTAAATCAATATGGCACATTTGTGTTTTATTTATAAATGAATAATATTATTCAAAGATTTGTCTTATTTTTTATATTGATCATCTTCATCTATCACATTCTATAAATATTTTACTTACAATTAAAACTTATCTGAAATTGTATAATAAGAAAATGACCCATCTTCATCTTCTTCTTTTTCTTCTTTAATACTAACCCTTCTAACAAAATGAATCGTGACTCTTGAGTCACAAAGAGGAAATGCACTTTCTCTCTATGATTCGTCCAAAAATACTAACCCCTCCTGTTTCGAGTATATAAACGGCTGAAAATAAAGCAATGATTCGCAAGTAGGAAACTATGAAAGACATCAACGAATTGGAATTACTCTGGCGCTACGTGAAATAGATTTTTAATATGAAGAAAACAATACAATAACAAACAACAAACAATATATCTGATAATTCATGCACTACGAAAGAATATATTAATACAATATACATATATTTATATATAACACTCACATTAATTATGAATGTATTTAATTATACTTATATAT